TTACATAGGTATATTATAAATTTTACTATACTCAATGATGTTTTAAAAATAATTAGACTAATTTTAAGTTTTTACCTATTTACTCTTTGAACCTATTCACACTGTTCTACAGTAATATTGTACTGACTCACAATCTAATAACAATAATATTATAATAGATTATGATAGAAATATTATATGGTACCTTTTATAATAATTAATGCAATATTTTCGGCTAAAATAAAATCAATCTACCGTAATAGTAATAGTAAAATATCATGTACTATATTTGATATAGGATGACAGACCCTACGCTCAAAATTTTTGTTTGTATGCAATGATGTATCATTGAATTCAAATTTACCACATCCATTATCGTGATCCACACTTGAACCTACAATATACAGCATTTGGTGATACTATTAAACTATTGCCAATTATATAAGTACCTTATTACCTTACACACATGCACAATAACAAATCGTAGTGCATTTCTATTATGTATTGTTATCTTAAACTCTTTTTAAAGGTACAAAACATGTTACTTAATTTATATACTTTGTATAGGTTTACTACTGCAGTGAAGAATGTATGCATAAATTACTTGAAGATGGACACAGGACACCATTTGGAATGTCCAATAATTTTTTTCATCAGATCAATGCCAGGAATTACTAAATTGAATGAACTTGCTTTGAAATGGGTTTGAAAAAATATTGTTCGTTGGTAGATAAATTTTCTAATTCTCAAACAGATCCTACGGTTTTTGATGAGAACGGTCTATATAAGTTTGACAACTTTTTAACCGCGTATTCTTTGGATAGAAGTGAAAATAAATTATCAATGGATGTCTTATTTTTTTAAACTGTATTGCTGCAGAAATGTTAGAGTATTTGATGTTAAGTGGTTTCAAAATTCAAGATTGTCAGGTACTGTGGGTGATTCATTGGTGCACATCTTAAGTATTTTAGATTTAAATTGTAGGAAGTTACACATCAATGGCCCTACTGATACCTGTCTCTGTGGTGGAATCATTACAACTCCATTCCATATTATGCTGCCATTAGCATTGGCTTTATATCCAAGTATTTCCTAATTCAATCATTCTTGTAATCCAAATATAAGTCGGAGTGGACAATTATCTGACAGAATAAGAGTTATGAAAGCAATACAGCCAATTCCCTGAGGAAGTCAGGTGAATATATAAAGATAATTTGTATTTTTGATTAATATTAATTTTTGTTTACAAGATTTATTGTTAATTTTTTGTATCATACTATGCAACTTTTTGGTGGAAATGTATGACCGTGGTAAATAATGGACATATTTTAGTTTCTAATGAATCGGCTTATTTTGATATTTTTCTGTTTAAAAAAACATTTAAAAATCAAATTTTCATATAAATGTTATGTGCAGGTATAAAAAAGTTATTTACAATCAACAATTAAAGAATAAAATTAATACCTTTTATATTGTACTTCTTATGTTGATTACAATATTAATAGTTGAAAATAGTGCCATATTTCATTTATGGCACTTACTAATAACATTTTACTCATGTTATTGATTACATTGCGCTTACAATAATCTTTTTTCGACAAAATATTATAGTTAGTATGTTTTTAAAGTGGGTATTGAATACATTTTTATTTATTAAGTACTTACTTTATCAGATCCAACAACCAGCACAGTACTTAATTGAGTTATTTAATTATTTTATTATTAAATCAGTTAGTTATATGTTTTTGCATACCAAAATTATCTAGTATAGTCATGTAAAAAATATATTTTAGTTATCAGATTTTCACTATTTATAAAAAAAAATCAAATAAATCTGACATAATCTATGTGCTTTTTTAATAAAAAAAAATAGTTATCAAAGGCCATAATCACTAAAAATTGATCCAAGTTTTAAAAATCTTTATCATTACTATTATTCATACAAATTCGATCATCATCTAAAAGTATAAAAGTATTTAAAAAACCATTATATTATCCATACATTCATCACTCATATCTTTAAATGTATACAATTAATTGTATAATTGGTATCTACTTATTTTGTTGAGTGTGTTTTCCCAATTTAACTAAAAGTTAGCCGAGAGGTAGTTTGATTTCTCTTAATATTGGATTACCGTTATTTGTCAATTCCGGAAATGTAATTTCATGAAGGGTATAACCAACTACATGTTTATAACAAAACTGAAATATAGTGAAACATTTCAGTGACTATTTATTACACAATTTTTCACTTTAATCTGTTATTGTAAATATATTTTTATTTAAATTGAAAAAAAAAACAAAAAGTTAACATTTAATATTTATATAATAAACATTTAATGTGGTTGTTTCATAATTTTTTTATTATTATTATTTTAGTTATTCTTTAGCTACAGAAAAATGTTTGATAAAATGGACAAAAAAAAAAGCCAAGATATTTGCCTAGACAATTTCAAGTTTGAGTGCTACTGCCAGGGTTGCCTAGAAGTTGGCCACCATATTGTTCCATACCGGATGTCCTTTCTAAAAGGTATGCTATTTAATTCAATATTTTATTTAAGTCTAAATTTATAACCTTGTTATAATAAATAATATGATTACTATTTATTAATATATTTATAGAAGTATTCTAAACCCGAGTATGGCAGATATTGTGATAGATGAGTGCAAGGTATTTGAACAATTTATGAAGAATGTGGGTCCAGATGAATATCATCTTCATTTAAATTATTTTTCTAACTTTATTAAGCTAATATTTACTAATGTAAAACAACCATTTAGATCAGAGGTTCCCAAACTTCTTATTGTGCGACCCATTTTGAATTTTTTTTTAAATATAGCGACCCACAATATCAATGAATGACCTTTTTTTTTTTTACCATACAACAGAAAATTAAACTATTTTATTACATTTTATGTAATTACGAAAAAAATGTATAATAAGTATAATATATAGTATTTTACACGGCCGCTGGTAAACTCGTAATTGTCATACTCACAGATAAGGATTGACGATAAAACTGAATTTGAACTTTGAACATCAACGAAAAGTAATAGATGATTATATTTTTGTATTATTTAAAAAAATAGTGCGACCCACCAAAAGTATAATCGCGACCCACTTTTGGGTCGCGACCCACAGTTTGGGAACCTCTGATTTAGATTGTATGTTGAGTGTCTTCATATGATATTTGCCGTTTATTCAATGCTCAAATATCAAGTACTTGGCATGGTTTAAATTATATATTGTATGGAATTATACGAATTCCTTACCTTTCTAATAGTTTTTAAAAAAGATTTAATTTTTTGCTTATATTTTTTTTATTATATACTAGAAATAAAGAGTTTTAAAAGCATTAAACTTAAAGAAAAATAATTATTTACATGTTTAATATTATATTAATTATCTTGACTTTTAGTATGCCCAAATTTGTATTACCCCGTGATAACAAACTGAATTCTTTGACATAGTGAACACACATTACAAATAGTTCATAAAAACAAATATTACATTTTTATTCATATTTTTAAATAACTTGGGTGAGAACCTGATTTTTATTATTTTTAATGTCTTAATAAACTATAATTTGAGGCCAGTATCTTTGTCAGATAGGTTAGAAAGCTACTAAATAACCTTTTGTCATTGGTTTCAACACTGATTAGAATACTTTTCAACCGTACTAAACAGTTTTTCTTGCAAATAAACCTATGTAGAACATTAGTGTTCTTTATGTAATATGTATTTAAATATTTATATTAGATTACTTGATTGATATTATATTAGTAAGATACATAACATATTATTATTATTTAATTCTTTCAAATAACTTTATTATTTTATTATTAGGTGCTATGCATTAATTACTACATTAATACTATTATATATTATATTGTTATATCTATATAACATTTTTTAATTATCTTAACTCTGAAGAAGTATATGAAAATTATTATTTTGCTGGCAGTTCGTACCAACTTAATAGTAGTAAAGTAACTAAAAAAATGAATTAATACAATTAATGAAGAGGAAGTAGATAGGATGCAGCAGTTATAATATAAATACGTAGCAGACACTGACTTCCTAGTATACTTGAGTAATATTACCAAATCAGTATGAATATTATTATTGTTGATGTAAAAAGCAAGCCTGTAAAAACCGACTTGTACTATTTACAATTTTCATTAGCCAGTTTTATATTATATACTAGAAAATTACTATTCTTAATTTTTCAGTTGTTTCCATTAGCATTAATCTATAGGTAGGGTTGTAACTTTTATTTTTCTCCGGTAATATTTATATGTTGAAAGTGTGTTTGAGCACTGACGTTTTAGCGCCACCTTTGGACTTCGATATAATATATCCTACCGTAGGTGTAACGGGCGCAGACTCTTCGAGACATGGAGCAATCCCATCCTATGCCTTCCAGCGCCCGATATAGGCGGCGTCGCCGGTTCAAAAGTCGTTTTTCTTCGTCTAAGCGACCAGTGGTCGAGCTCGGAGTAACGGCGCGTCCCCTCGACATAGTGCAATTACTGCAATTTATCGCTATCCCGTATTGTCATGTATAGTGTTTGGTAGCAGTTAGATAAAATAGTATTTAATAATATTATACAATATTGTGTACAGATATATAAACATTTATATATCTGCGATTGCGATGAACCGGCGAAACGTACCGACCCCATAGATAATAAAGATATGGATAGGCCACGCCTATGTTAAATACATTTGAGGCCGCGTTCCCGGAGGGGAAGGCAATTGAGGCTCCTTTATATTGATAGTCGATACTCAATATAGGTATACTTTATTTGGCCTCAATTGTTCCCCTCGAAGACCGCTGATAAGACCAATATGTCCTATCCATATCTTTATTATCTATGACCGACCCATATGGCCAATGGCCATATCATTATAATATCGAACTCCGACTTTGATACATTATGACGGTACGTTAGTTGTTTATTCCATGTCCAATATATAATTTTCCTCTACCATGATTTAAATTATTATACTGATAAACCGTTTGTTTTCTAGTCGGTAGTGATAGGTACAGACCGCTTTTTCTCAGTGAAAGGTTACAAAATATTAAATTTACAAAATATTTTTTAATATCTGTTACCTTAATTAATATTTATTGGTTAGAAGTCTTAGATCGCCGTAGAGCCGTGCTCCGTAAAGCGCTGGTGGCTGCCGGCTGGTGCATACTGCATTGGCCATTGGTACCTACTGGGCTACACCACTACACCAGTAAGAACTAATGCATTATCATTTCGAAAAAAATATTTTTTTTTCAATTTTGTTTGCTCACAATTATAGAGTTGTAACTCGCCAGCCTGTTGCCGGAGACCGGATTACGTACCCGGCGTCAACCATATTTTGCCAATTGAATCATTACAATGCTTAAGAAATAAGAAGACTTTAAAAAAAATACTTTTTACTTTCTTCTCCCTGTAACTCGTAAGTCTAAAAAACACCATTATTACATTATCATTCTTCTTTGTTGATCACGTAGAATGTGATGTATGTAGGAGTGGTTTAGATTTTAATATAGGAGATAATTGAAATCTATAATGTGTAATTCTATTACAAACAATTAACATAGAGTTAATGGTAAATTGGCCAAAGTCTTGTCATTGGTGTGTGTTTGTGCGCGCGCGCGCACGCGCGCGTGTTTGTGTGTGTGTGATTTGAGTGTCTTAAGTATGAAATATTACCTAGACCTGATGTTGCAATATTATTATTTTGTGTTATGTGTCTGTTTTTGAACCTGTTAGGACGCGATGGCTACCCCTAGCAACGAATCAGATTCTTCGCAAAAGAACACAAGCAATGAAGAAAATGATGGCAAAGATGATCAGAATAACATATTTGAGTGTAACATATGCTTGGAGAGTGCAAAAGACGCTGTTGTCAGTGTTTGCGGCCATTTATTTTGGTTAGTAACATTGCAGTACTAAAACTATAGTAATAAGTATATTTGTTAGTTTACCTATATGTATTTGTGTGTTACTTATATATTTAAACATTTGATTTTTGGTTTTTGTTGTTGAAATAATATAATTAAAACTATGAATCATAAGCAGTTTTTAGGGCGTGGATTTACATGTAAAAAAAATGTTTTTGTTATTTTTGTCCAAATGTGTATTAAAAATACATGAAATATTTAAGAAAAAGTTATTAAAATATTAATCGTATAATAAAAAAAGTACTAAATTGAAAAACAAACTGACCAACACCAAAGCAGAAGTTCCCAAACTTTTCTTCTACTGCAATACATTGTTATGAGTTATTATATGTTGTGGCATATTTAAAAAAATTATTTATTTACCTTTTGGTAAAAATAAGTACTTCAGGACTGGGAAACTTTCTGTAGGGGCTGTAGCACCCTTGCATACAACGCTCATACTTACAACAGGTAGAGCATATTTTCTATAGAATAATGGTTATATGTTTGTGAATAGTTAAATACAAAAATACAAAATATTTAATTATCAGTAAAATGTTTAAGAAAATGCATTTAATTCAAAATATGCTGGTAGATGTAAAAGTTAATACATATTATTTTTATTTATAGCTGCGGTTTTCAACCTTTTTATATCCATGTACCTCCTATACAGTTTGAACATTTTTATGTACCACTTGACCAAATAAATGTTAGTTTTTGTTTATCAAAAATATATACGTTATTTTACATGTATGGAATTTTATTTTATTAGGCACTTCAAAACAATAATAATAACATAAGCATTTAATGCACAGAAAGAAAATTATTATGAACAATTTTTTATATTATTAATATCAAATAAGCCAAATAATATTTGACATGAATAACGATAATACAATAGCACTTTTTTATAAAGGGAGATTTTCTTAGCGTACCACCTATGACTTATAAGCGTAACATATATTGATAAACTCTGATTCAAAGTATTATGAATTAAGTTCATTTGTAATCTGCTTTCAATAAAATAATGTATTAACATAAAAATCTACTCTCTATTCATGACATAGGAATGAAATGTTTTAAGAATAGTGATTGGAATTTAGTTACCTAATCTGAGACATGCTCAGTTTTTGTATATTTAATTAGGTATTCATAAGTTCAAAAATTAATTAATATTTATAAACTTATATAACTATTATTAAAAGTAAATAAAGAGTAAAGTACATTCTGCTATTATGCTCCCTAAAAATTAAGAAAAATAAAATTCATTTCACATTTTTACTTTGGTAATTGATTAATTAATATTAAGCTATAGCAAAATTTCGACAAGTTGAAAAATTGAATTTCCATTAAATTTCGACTCTTTGAGGTTCCACTGTAATACTGTATATATAATTAGAGTCGAGTTGCAAAAACTTGAAGTTAAAGATAGATAAAATATTGCAAAACGTCTAAGAGAGTAAAAATCTATGTTTGAGCTATTGAGACTCAAGCGTATAAATAATTATTAAGTACTATTCAATAATTTAATACATTTTAATATTTTTATTTAGTTTAAAGCTAAAACTTTTTATGTTATAGCTGGCCGTGCTTGCATCAATGGTTAGAAACTCGAGCAAGCCGTCAAGTGTGCCCTGTATGTAAAGCTGCTATAAATAAAGATAAAGTTATACCAATCTATGGACGTGGAAATTCCAAAGAAGAAGATCCTAGGTAAATTTAAATATATATTTTTTTTAACTTAAAAATTATTTTTATTCATACCTCGTATTATTGTTTATTTTATAAGAAAGTACATATCAAATAAATTGCAGTGTTAGGCAAGTTACTGTACTTTTCAAAAAAAAAGAATCTTTGTTACTTTCGCATAGTAAAAAACTGTGAGGTGTGTATGAAAGTGTATAATTTCCAACTCTATAGTTTCAAAGTTATACCAAGTTTCTTTCTTAACTTAATCCACCCTTCGGTGGATACAATATGCTATCCAGTGGTTTTTCATATAGATGTATAACCTAATTTTGTATGGAAAAAATGATAAATTAATAAAAAATATAGCATTTTATTGTTATATCTTGGTTTTGGTGTAACCCAGTTCAGATTATTTTATGTCAGTAATCTTTGCTGGAGTGGTGTAATTAGTTTTTTTGAAAGGGGTAAGAATTTTTTACTATTCTGAGGTCTGCACGTAATATACATTATATTGTTTTCTTGCATATTTTATATGACAAAAATAAGCCAAAGGGGGAGGGGGATATGACATCCTCCCTCCCTGATCATGACCCTCGTTTATAAATTTCCAAAACGTTAGATGCCGTGAACCTGCAATACAAAATTAAAATTAGGCATAAAAAAATATATACTTTATTTGTCATACCTAATAATGTACTGAACTCTCTGTGCCATCCTTCAATGTTATTATTTGTTCTCGGCAATACTTTTTTCGCCAAATCATAACAATTCCAAAGTTCCAAGGGAAATGTTGGTGTTCTTTGGGTCATTAGTCTATGGCCAACAAGTTGCCCAAACCAAATGTCTTCAAAGTAGTCAATAAATGGTTTTAATTAACCATCGTTATCAATATAAAATTGTGAATTCAATAATTCTTCAAATGCTGTTACTACATACGATTTTGGAACATAAGCTAAGGCCTGTAACATTCTAATATGTATAGAAAAATTTGGTTCCTACATATATTTTTCAGCTAGGCCGAGTAATTTTTGAATTTTTCTCCACAAGCATTCAGTGAAATGGAACAAAACATCCAGATTGTTTGATATTTGGAAATATGTTTTTACAAGCGATTTAACTGCTATGCTCGAAATCTGTCATAGCCCCTGGATTCAAATTTGAGTTAATTTCTTTTATTTTTGAAAGCAGCAATGTATGTATCTTGTGTTTTATTCGGTAGTAATGCATATACAGTGGGAACGATTGTATCAATATTTATTAACATATGTATCGTTTAAATTTGAAAAAATAAGACCGGGGAACTTATAAAAGTTCCATCTGCGAACCAATGTTTAGATTTTTCCATCAGTTTCGTGTTTTCTTCAGTAGAATATAATAATATATAAATTTCAACTTGACCACTGTCAAATATTAAAAATGGATGTTTATTTTTAGTTTTAGTGTAGATCTCAGGAATTTCAAGTTCCATTAAAGAAGAAGGATGTTAAGAACATTATGTTTTTCTGACGTGCTCTTTGTAGAGTATGTTTTAAAAGAGGAATAGCGGGAATATTTCTGGCTACACCTGGCGGAATTTGAGAACTGGTAATAATCTGTTGAGGATTATCATTAAACAAACATATTTTGTTTTTCATTTTTTCTACAATTTGTCTGGATTCAATTATGTTAATGTCGGAGACATGTGTATGATATGAGTGACCTTTTGAAATTGACTCACCTTGTATAGTAACTCGGCCTTTACAATTTTTCACTATACATCTCCACTGTACTGTATCGGCTGTTTTCTATCCACTCTATAAATGTAACTCTTATGTTTTAACAAATTTTTATTTTTGTTGCTTTTTATATATTGCATTTTAAGTTAATATGGCACTTATACAGAAAATAACTTATTTGATATTACATAAAATATCTAGGTCATACACAATGTTGAACATATCATCACTAACTAAACTAAATTTATAAGGCTATAAAATAAAATACTAATATATCAACTTATCGCAAAAATCGTAATCGCTGTTATTACTTATGTAGCTACATTTGTAATCACGGTTTTACCGTCACTTTAATGGATTTCCTCTTTTCATCTAGACCCATTGAAGATAGCTATCCCCCATGCACTTTGTTGCCTGTAAAAAATGTCATCACTTATATTATTCAGACTTTATGTTGAACTCATTACTTAAAACCCGGTGTAGTGGTGTTCAAAACTTAAACAAAATAAAATATAATGTAAGTTAACTTTGATTTTTAACACAGTGTTTTTGAAAACTTGTAGATACGGATTTTTATAAGAATCGATAATTTTTATAAAATAAAATACAGCCTATGTTACTTATGCAGTCTTTAGCTTTGTATAGTTGAAAACATTTTTAAAATCAGTTAAGTAGTTCTGGAGTTTATCCATTACAAACAAACAATTTTACTTCTTTGTAATATTACTCTAGACTCTAGATGATGAGTATTTACTATTTACTTGCAATATTCTGCTTTAATTTCATTGTGTTACTAGATACTTCATTTTGAAAATCATATTTATGGATTCAGTGTTCAGTGTTTAATATATTTTTGTTTCAGAAATAAAGTGCCACCTAGGCCTGCTGGTCAAAGGACTGAACCGGATGTTAATGCTGTGAGTCATCAACATGTAAATTTGTATTTCTCATGTTCACGTGGGACTGATTTTAATTCTTTCAGGGTTTCCCTGGTTTTACCTTTGGAGATGGTGGTTTTCATTTGTCGTTTGGAATAGGGGCATTTCCTTTTGGATTTTTAACATCGTTTAATTTAACTGATCGTCCACATGGAAGTAAGTACATAATATAGGTTAAATTTTTGAGTTATTAATTTTTAATAATGGATGAAATTAGTTTAATTTAATTAATTTATAAATTTAATTAGTTCCAGTTGGTAGTCAACTACAACAAGATGATGAATACTTATCAAAACTTTTCTTATGGATTGCAGGGATATTTATTATGTGGCTATTGGTGGCATAATTTACTCGTAGAGTACGTTCTTTTGTATTATTATTATTGTTTTATAATTCAATGAACTACCATAGTTATCACTTAACAAGGGCTTCTTTATATGTGTATTATTTTAATTCGGTATATTTTCGTTATCTGTTGGCTATGTAAGTTTCAAATTTACTTCACTTTGTATTGTTTGGTGCTTAATCTAAAATCTGAACTGTTATTGTGAGTCTCATTATTTTTTATGATATAAAAACTTTAACTGTAGTTTAATATTAAACTTTTCAGCAGTTTGACGAATATTTTGTTCATGGTTTTGTCTAGAATATTCACAAAACCGGCAATAATTTGAATAGTTCTGTCTTTTGAGTTATAATCTATACTAAATTTGCAAATATTAATTTGTATATTGTACATTGCATTATGTTATTATTATTGAAACAATTATTTTAAATGTCGCAGACTATTTATGTATTTATAAATTGTATTATTAATAGTTATGATTTATTTATGATATGATGGTTTTGTTTTGTTTGACTTAATTAAAATATAATAATTCTTTGTGATTTACCATGTAAAAACATTGTTTGTAATATTGTTATAATTATTATTGTGTTCGTCCCATCCATTATGAGATTATTTAACATACAGTCTTATATATATTTTAGCCTTACCTACTTAAATAATTGTTTTTCTTTATTTTCTTGTCTTCTAATTCCAACCATATTAGGACATAATACCCGTGTGTTAGACTTATGCTATGTCTAACTAATGTAAACATAAAACTAAAAATGTATTGTTAATTTTAAAAAGTTTTTCTTGCTTAAAAATTAAATATTTATTAATTATATATTAGAATAAATCTATGGTGCCCTGAGAATATACTTACCTTTAAGTTTTATAATATTAAAAATAACAGTAGAAAGATTCTTCTGAATGTAATATAGCAATGTTATTTATGTGTTAGTAAGACAGAGCATATGGTAGTTTAACAACCTCTTAAGAACTTAATAAACATGTTTTCATGATGTGCATCAGGAAATTATTCTATAATTAATTTATTGGAAAACACCCCATACTTATGGAAGCTATTAACATTTTTGTATTTATGATTTTACAGAAAGCATTGACTATTTAACTAATACAATAATTTGTTTTATAATTAATATTTTAAAAATCTTTTTTTTTATATAATTTATAAATACTTGCGGCTGCATTTATAGCATGGGTTCTCAACTTTTTGAGATCCACGCCCCCTCTCAAACTATTTTATGAGCTCACGCCACCCCCTACACTTCTATAAGATTGATGTATGCATAATATTTATATGTAAACTATACTTTAATGTTGGTTATTGGATTAGTATGAATACAACTTAAATGACTTTTTTTTAATATTAAATGAATTTACAAAATAAAAAATATAATTTAAAATTAATATTAACTGTTATTAAATATACAATTAATGAGAGGGTTGGCCCCGTTTATTTTTAATCAATTTTTTTATGTTTGGCAACATCTCTGATAATACGCATCTCAAATCACTCCCCACGTCCAATCGTGCTCGATATTTCAATTTTATATAAGCAAGCGCCAAAAAGCCAAACTCGCAGAGGTAGGTGGAAGTAAACTGAACCAATAGCTTCACAGCTTCATTGGCAACTTCCGGATATACAGAGAGATAACACAGCCAAAAATCTTCAACATTCTTACTTTTAAAGTCTTCTTTGGCTTGTGAATCATTCTTATGTCGATGGTCGTGTTTTTTTCAATATTTTCACGCTCCCCTAGGGTGGCGCGCCCCCCAGGTTGAGAACCCGTTTTTTAGTATATATTTTTTTATTTCTTGAAACTAAAAATTAAAATTAAAGAGTTGAATTCAAATTATTTTTATATCTTTAAAATTGGTAATTTGTTAATCTGATTAATTATAAGAAAAAAGTTGATAGTAAAACATTTATCAAATTCAAGTAACTAATTTTTTTTAAATATTTTTTTTTTGGAATTAATTTTATGCGTAATATTTTTTTCTGGCATGAATATAGTTCTTAAATTATATATTATCCATATAATATGTACATATTTTGTCATACTTTTAATTAACACTATTTTTTAAATTTAGTCAAATTTGTCTGTTATCACTGTTGATCATTGTTTTTTTTAGAAATGTATTTATTTCACACCTGCTATTTATTAAATTTAGCAGTTTACAGCCTAAGCATATTTTCCTTTACAATACCAAGTATCAAAAGCACTTTATAACAAACAAACTTAAGTACGACCAACTATGATAGTTGTACAAAATAATGTTATTGGGTAACTTAAAAAAAGGAAATTAATTTTATAATATTATATTTTATCCGAATTCGAGTAAGTACAAAGTTTATTTTACTTTTAAAAGTATCTTCTTTCTAGTGTGCTTAAATCTTGTTCTACATAATAATTCAACCAAACAATGCTTCAATAGCGACACTGCTTTATTGTCTTCATGTTTATACCAACTAATGACATGTGTGAGTTTTTGTGAACTATCCATGGACCATGCCGCCAGTTGGAATACTCTGCATTGACTTCCTATTGAGCAGATTAATTTTTTTATTCATACTAATAATAAATATTGTTTTATTTGAACTCCTTTGTAAAAGAAAAGGCTGATTTTAATTTGCTCAAGTCTGACCAAATTAACTTGTTACTCAAATGGTGTAGAAATGAAAACTTTTATATTGTAACTATTTATTTTTTAGCTTCCAAAACTAAAATAGTAGTTGTAAAATAAAATAGTTACTTTTTCAAATTTACAACAATCATAACAAAATATTATGTATCTTTTCCCATAAAGTACCTATCCTCACTCTCCTCAACATTGTCTTAAATAAAGTGAGTTTTATTTTATTAATTATACAATTAAATAGTTAAATCCCCATAATCTAGCTTTAGCCCTTGGCAATATATTATTATCTAATAAAATATGATTCAATATTATTTTGTTACCTGACTGAATTATCTGTATTTTATAATCTATGATAATATTTAGTTAAAAATTAATAAAATACAGTCTTAAAAAAGTACTAAATAATAAACTATTTAAAAAAATAGTTGAATTATCCTATTTTCATGTACAATATTTTAAATCTTAAAACTAATTTACCAATGAAAAGTGAATACAGAAGGAAATGTCCAAAATATTTTCTGCCGACATATCATATAAATTATAAACACAAAATCCCTGGATTGATGAACATTGATTTGAAAACCCGCTTTTTTTATTAATGACTGTTTTAAATTCAATGTTTGATAAATTAGATATGAAAAATTAAGATTTATCCTGGAACAAATATTTTATATTTTGTTTATTATATTTAAAAAAAAACCTTAATCTTAAGAACTTTAAAAGTTTAAACATTCCGTATTTTTCACTAAATATTACAAATATTATTATTCTCTGTACATGATACAATTAGATAAATTTTAATTTTAAATTGTTTACTTTTTGATGTTTTTAATCATTGATGCAAAATCTTTTTCTTGGATTTAAAGCTTGGAAATTAAAGAAATTTTTTTAAAGTTTGTTGTTTTAGCAATTTCAACATTTCAAAAACAATATTTTATGAACAATCTATTAATTTTTAAAATAATTTGTAGATTGAAATTTGATATTTAAACGAAAAATAAGTTTAGTGATAATGGTGTTATATGGAAAATGTTTGTTTTGCAATTTACTACCCATATTATTATTTTATAAACATAATAAATGTAGACGGTATTAATTTAATTTATTCCAATAGCAAGTTTATGGATCTAATCTATTGTTCTCGTGTATGTCTAACTACATTCATCATATGATACCATCATATAAAGATTAGTAACTATGATATTCAGTTTGCAAATCTTGTTCTTATGCAAACTAAATTGTTTAATTATTTATAATTTTGTTTCATAAAAATGATTGAGTTTAAAACTTAAATGTGTATAATGTATTTACAGAAAAACTGAGTTTTGGAAAACCAGCTTTAAGAGGAGATGTTGCAGAGAAGAAATCTAACAGTAAGCTACAAAGGCAATTATTGAGATGAAAAACTAAACAATATTATAATTTATCTTATTGGCTATATTTTCTGTTTAGATCTGGGATAAAATGTCTAGAGGGGAACATGCTGTCAACATACTGGTAATATGTAGAACATTGAATAGCTAAACAAAGACCATGATCTATTAAGATGTCTTAGAAGTATGAGTCAAGCCAATGCTGATTGCCTAAGACGCCAATTGGTCCACCTCCAGCCAATAAATTATTAGAACAATTTTTACTGTATTTATTTAAATGTATTGACCGACAATTATTATTTTTTTTGTTCACTTTTTTATTTTTTCAACATTTCTGATGGTTGATCCCATATATTAAAACAATATTTTCATAATTATATAGTTACATTTAATCATTTAATAAAAATATTATGAATCCTTCAATAATATTTTACAACATATCAATAATATTATGAGTATTGAGTACATAAACACAATATTTTTTCCCACATAAGAAAAAAATACTAATAATAAATAAAATGCTTAATTTGAGATATTGCCATATTGGTAAAATCATTTATAATAGTGTTATCATTTTGATTAATATTATTAAAACATACATATTTAGTATACTGACTTGATGATTTATTGTTTTCAACATTTGTTTAGTAGAACTATGCTGATATTTTAATAGACAATCCTGATAATATTAAATATTTTTCAAATTTTTGATTTATGTATTTAGAATATTAGTATATTTTTTAGTTTTCCTTTAAATTTGTATCAAATGGATACTTAACATTTTTCTTATTGAAGTTACAAATCCTAGCTATACTACTTAATCCGTCTTATTATTCCTTTTTTTTATTGGAACAAAATGTTTAACAAAATAATAAGTATACAAACAGTACCTATGGTACTATATTAGTAATTAATATAGGGTATATGTATGTATGTCTATCGGTCGTTAAGATTATCCCTAGGTGTCATGGTTATAAGAAAATATAAGAAATATAAATAATTGATCAGAAATAAAAGGACAAGATTAAACAACAAAAAAATATTTTTATCATAAAATTGAAAATACTGATAATTCGTTATTAATAAATTATGATCATGGTAAAAGATACTAAAAGTTCACACTTCGTTTTACAGAATATTTTGATTATGAAATGAAAAAAAAACTAGTTATTTATCGTTTTTAACGAGTTGGATTAGATTATTTAACAAATTTAATTCAATTCAACTAGTTAAGTTAAAAAGTTACTTAAAATGTAACTTTCTAATTAGTAAGTGCCAAGCTTTGAATCTAGGTATATGAATGCTGCCCAATAAAAATTTTTAAATTTTGCAGCTGGGGAGGCAATGTTATGCCTCTGGTAAACACACCTCTGTAAATAAGAGACACACAAAAAAACCGACAACCTCATTGTATGGAATCTAGATAGAAACCATAGGTAAAAGACTGCTAATGTAATTTTTCAGCTGTAAATGTTGTGTCTAATAACATACATAAATGGTTATTTGAAGTATAGTATGGAATTATTTGTAATTATTGTTGAATACGAAATTGGAATAAAATAACTAATAAGTGATTAACATTGTAGGTACAAAAATTAAAACAGTTCTCAGTAACTATTAGCATTTAAAATAAATATTATTATAAAAATGTATCTAAAAAGGATATCTCTGACATATTATTTGTATCGATAAATGATTTAGTAGCCTAAATAAAAAATAAGGTCAATATATATTGTAAGTTGTACATTGAATAATACATTATCTACTTTTTTTATACTTTTGCACATATGTTATACTTTATGTTATAACTTTTGCACAAATATAATAGTTCAAAATAATTTAGTAGATATCCAGTCAGCATAAACCTATATCTGCAAATGTTGCACCCATAAGGCTTACTACTCATTGATGTGATATGAACCATGATTAGCACATTACTGTGAGCAGAACAAGAAGAGTACTCAAAGTTTAAATGTAACTCTCAAACATATTAAGTGTAATTATATAACAACTGATTGTTATTATTTACAATCATTAATCAAACTAGTTTAATAGGCATAAGAGAATAAATACAATTAATAAGAACTAGTTAATTTAAAAATTTGTCTTTATTGTTGTCGCTTTAAAATAACTCGATTCACAGAAATAATTTTAATACTCATTTAAATATTTTTTTTTTTTTTTGAAACCAAATTTAATACTAATAGTATTCATAAACCTTCAATTTAAATTTTAAAATAATTGCTTTGCTAAGGTGTAAGCACAACGTCTGTTAATAGCCTTGGTATACTTGTTGACAAATGTATACCTTAACCTTAGTTTTAAATTTTCTTCTGGTCCAAATCTGTTACAAGTACTTTTAACAATAGTATTTTCTCCAACCAACATAGTTTTTTGACTTTGTTGAGGACCACGCCACATATGGAACTCATTAATTTTAAACTTGTTACCTTGTTCGACAAGCAACTGGTCCCGTAACAATAAACCAGTCTGTCTAAATCTAGTATATGGTGAATAAGATGATGTTGAAAATCCTATTTGTAGATCATCTATAAACATGAACAAATTAATTAAAGAGTTAGGTTAGAACAATTCTGTATTGAAAATACAATTGTAACAAAATCACATGAAATTAGTTAGTAAATTGTAAAAAAAAAATCTAAAATACCGTTTAAAAAAAAAAATTACCCTTGTCATCGGCAATTTTTTGACCATTAGGAAAATCAACCACCATAAACAACTCTAACATATGTGCATAGTCTCCTCCATTGGCACTCGAATAAGGTGTACTGCACTCTAAAGTTAAGTTTTTACTATGAACATGGCGAACTTCATCTATAGTACACTTATACATATCAAACTTCTTTATTAAGCAAGCATTAGATACTACCTGAAAAAAAATACTTATGAAAATCACAGTTTTTCAAAAGGATAGTGTCAAAAATAAAATCATTTAAAATTATAGGAGTAAAGGTTTGCAACTTATTGCTCTAATAAAAATTTAGATCTGGACTCAATTTTTTATATTCAATAAAATAAGTACTAGAAACTACTTAAGTGTACTTCATATAATTTTTATAAAATAAATTAAATTTTTTATTTATAAAAGGCAGATGAATTAATATTATTATTTATCAACAAGTTGACAAAGTAGCTACATACATGATGTCTTTAACTTAAAACATGACATAGCAAATTATACACTCAGAAGAATCCATAATACTTTGTTCACTTTAACATCAGAATGAATTGGACTATTATACAATTTAAAAAAAGAATATTCACTAAGGTCCCACAGAGGCCTTTTATATTTTAATAGCAAAGTATGAGCATTTTAAAATTTACAATAATGACAAGAAATAAAAGTAAAAATATCATAAAAAGTCTATTTATTTAATATATTATTATTCAGTGCTAAATGCTATATTTTTTTATTAACAACAATAAAGGTACCTAGTTTTTAAATTTTTATTGATGTTATATTATACATATAAATATGCTAATACATAAAGAGTTCGATAGTCAAATAAATTAAAAGCAATAATATATTTAATACAAATAAAAATCTTTACAATTATTGTACCAATAACAGAATATTTTGTAAAATAATATTCAGTTTCATTAAAAAATTTTTTTCAGAAAATATAAATCAATTATTTACCTTGCACGGATCAAAAAATGTGACTAGAGGTTCATCCATCATGTACCACTTATTTTTGGAAGAGTCAGGACAGTCAACACTTTCAGAATCACAATCAACTACAACTTCTGTATTTGATCTCATATCAAATCCATAAACATTACTCCACCATGAACACAATGTTGAATCTGATGAACTGTCAGTATCAGTAGACAATGTTTCAGATTTGTCAGTCTTGTTTAAAGTTAGCCTATCAAATTTTTTATATGTCTTCTTTTTAGTACTTTTGCGTATACGACAATTTCCAAAGACTCGTCTTTGTTCTAATAACTGGCCGTACAGAGTAACACACATAGGAATCATTAGGCCTATACAAATATATAAATTACAATATCATACAAAAAATATTTATTTATTATATATATATACAAACCATTTGAAACAAGAAAACGATCTCTAGCTTCTATAACCTGTTCCATTTGATCTCCTTGACTTACAACACAGTCTCCCAAAAAATCAGCTAATATAACATCTACCTTCTTAAGTCTGTGTGGTAACTGTTTTAAGTCATGAACCTAAAAATACAAAGCTATTTAAAAAGAATTCAGTAAAAAAACCTGTAACACATGTATATTTAACATAATAAGATGTATAATACTAGTAATAAGTCATATAAATGAAATGATATTTTTCTTACATTGCTTTGAACTAAGGTGATCACAGTACTATACCGGTTGTCTGTGATTATGCGTCGAGCATATTCAATACAAGCAGACTGTTCTAAAGCAATTACTTTTTTGGCTTTTCCATCCCGAGCACATAACAAAGGTAATAAGCCAATACCACAGCGAATAACTAATACCACTTTATCCTGAAAAATGAATTCAAAATAATTTTAATACATATTACATGAGACAGTAGAAAAGTACTAAAAATAATTATTATATATTTTTATTTTAATATAAAAAATTGTATATAGGCAATAATATTTTAGATTCTAAGCATAACGAATGAATATATTCTATTTACAATGTGTTTTTTTTTCAATCCGTCATCAACATTTAGACATGTCAAAACTGAAAAGCCTTAGTAGCATTTCATTAACAAAACATTTTCACTCCTTTTAAGCTTTGAAATTTTTTTTGAATTTTGTACATTTTTTAACTATTAATTCATCAAGTAAAAAAGCTTAAATATTTAGTTAAAGTCTTCATAAGATGCTTTAATAGCAGTTCAAAAATATTAAGTATACATAAGCAGTTATTTTTTAAAATATTTCAATATATTAAAAATATACCTATTTAATATTTCATTCAAATCTCAAAAGTTGATAAAATTCATAAAAGTTTTTTTATCAAAGCTAGTATTAGAAATTTTAATAGTAGATTCCAAACAATTTTCTAGATCTTAAACAAAAAAAAAGTTGACCGGAGAGTCACGCAATTTATAGACATGAAATATTTACTTTTTTTATTTATTTAATTTGATTATTTATACAAGTATGCTAGGATAACACAACATCTTTGCTCAGAATCGTTTTTTGTTTGCAATGATTTATCATTGAATTCAAATAACACATCCATTTCAACAACATGCTCAAAAACTACTATACAACAAAGCGGTATACACTTGTCCACCTTTTTGTTTTTTTGAAATAAACATAATTCTATAATAATATAATAAGCTCATAATCCATAAGAATTTCTAAAATGTTTAATTAAAATAAAGCACAGTACGCATAACATTGAAATTAAGTATATTTCAAAATAATATATTAGTTTATTTTGTAGTACAGGGGCATATGTATGAGAGCTGATTTGGGTGATACATCCTCCCCCTCCTCCAGAGCCTTTTTTATTTATTAAATAAATCTTTAATATTATAAATGTTGGTATAGTTTAAGTAAAAGTTCACTTTGCGGAAAGGTAAGATAACAAGAGAAGGAGCCAGGGGACAGATATCGTAGGGAATATTTGGCCCCTAATGTTCAAAATAGTTGTCGTTTTACCCCTAGAAAATAATCGTAGATTTGCAACTGTTTTAGTAAGTTAACCAGTCATTGGTATCAGTGTTAGAATTTTGCTAACATTAAACTTATGTTAAGAACCACTCATTCATTTAATAATAAATTTTTTTGAAAATGTATGTACCGCTTTTAAAAGTAATATGAAACATTAAATAATTAAATACATTTTTTAACCTATGTTTCAATAGGCTCAGCTCATCAAATTATTCATAGAAACAAAAACTAACAATGTTAGCATAATGCAAACATGATATCAACCATGTTACAAATCAAAGCAATACTTACTTACAATGGATTAATAATCTATAAGTATTTAAATAAAGAAAAAAATAATAAAAATATGTTTATAAATAATAATACCTTAATTAAGGTTCTCGCACACTGCAACGGTGGCGGTAATTTACTATTGGCTTAACGGCGCTGTTGCGGTAAATTGTGTGAGGCTGCATTATACCTGTTTCGCTACCGCCGCAGTGTGTGCAGGCCTTTATATTATAGGCCTTATATATATGCTGAAAACGTTAAAAAATAACAGCTATTTAACACACAAAATTTTTAATATAATATTTTTATTGTATTTTATACAGTGGGTGACTTAGCATTATCCAGCCAGTCACCTAGGGCTGAAAATTTTACTAAATCAAATTAATTTGGCGAGGGTGATTAACACTCCCATAAACTATAGTGTTGTGTTATTGAGCATTTGAGACTGACATAGGTAATGGAATTTATTAAAGTACTATTATTTTACCATTGTTTAAGTTTGTATAACCCATTTGATGTTATACAGAGTATTCAAAAATATTCATACGATTTAAAAAAGAATACAAGTTGTAAAATTCAAGTAATTACAAGTTAGAATAAGATGGTTGGTTGACGTTTAAGTGATATACTAACTTCCCATAAATCTGTTGAAGTAAGTTGATTGTTATTTTATTGATAGTGTAGAAATATAAATCATAAAGATTTGCAACTTTTCACCATTAGCGTATTACATTACTATTACTATTCACCACAATACATTTTTTTTAAATATTAAGATTACTTTTAAGTCATTTATATCCTCGTTTATATTATTCTGTGGTATGTTGGTATTGGCTAAAATTAATTATATCTACCGAAAAAGGTAACGCAAATAATATAAATATACTACACGACATAAACTTAACTATATGTACATTAAAAAGGAAGTTTGGCAGCCTATTAGGGCGCAGGAGTGCTATTAACTATGTGGCAGGTACATAGATGGTTGACCAGGTGGGGGTAAGAAATGGATGTTGTCTGATCGCAGCATAAGAAAACTGATTGCCAACAAAATTGCTTCTAAATACAACCAACCATCACTATATCCATAATATACATTTGTATTATGTAGGTACAATTTTGAAGACGGATTACAACATTATAAGAAATACAAATATAGGTACTTTGTGAGGTACTTTGTTTTAAATATTGTTAATAAGAACCTATATACCTATATCCAAAACCAGTGTTGGGGTTACTCTAAAAAATTAAGTTACAAGTTTGTGAAACAAAATAATTTTTTATGTAATATGATGGTAATTTAATAACATTTTATTGTAAGTAATTTATTTGTAATCTAAGGTACTTTTTTGTAATTAAATTACAGAATTACTCGTTATTTTATTTTTGTTTAAAAATATATTAAAATATATTATACACCTAAGTATTAAAATTTATAAGTAAAATTTTCTAAGCTCTGATATTTTTACTATAGCGATTGACTATTTGAAGATAAAGTAGATAGAAATAGAATATAATTCTTATCTGTATTGTTTAAAATAAATTTGATAAATTAAGATTAATGTGTGGCAGAATGAGCATCTGTTAATAATTTCATGTAGTTGATTATCATTATTTAGTTTATGTACCTATTGTATTGACAACATGGTTATTAGGTAAGCACCAGTGATATTTTTGAAAAAAAGGAACTTAAAAAAAATTTAGTTACAATTTTGATAAGGAATTAGTAATGTTATTTGTTACCAAAATAGTAATTTCTGCTACACTGTTCAAAATCTTATTAGTAACTTTGGTAAGATAAAATTTATATTAACCTTAATATATCCGTTTGAACAATATTCTATACAGTTTTTGTATGTAATAGTGCGCACATAGTCTTTAATTTCTGACTCGTGTATCCCATAGCGAGCATAACGATCATCATTAAAATCTGCAGCCGTCATCATATTCATCTTCTCTAAATCACCTGGGTCTGATTCACATTCTGAATCATACTCAGAATTTTCATGTAAATCCAGGAAATTCTTGTTGGTAAAACCACTTTGACTTAAACCTGGCTCTGTACAAGCAGATTCATTTGTAGAACCTGATTGGTCATTTCTAATGGGTATATTGTTGACATTTTTCGATGAAATGAATTCGTTAAATCTCACTGTGGCATTGTTTCTGTTCTTTCGATATTTGTTTGAGTACTTCTTATTGTTGAACTGAGCCTGACGATATTCATATTGTCCGGATTTTTTTTCTTTCCAATTCGTCCTGTCCGAATTTTTAACGTTTCTTGGGCTTACCGCTCCCGAAACAGGGTTTGAACCCGAAGGCGTAATCGGGGACACGGGCATTTCTGATTCATCGTACAGGTTTTTATCAGAAAACACTGATACTTCGACGGGTTGAACCACTTTGAAATATTTCAAATAGGCTGTGGTGTTACAAGTAGATTTTACGGTGCTGGGGTGGTCGGCGGTTATCTTACCGCACGGATCACGTGCTCCGTCAGGTTGCTGCTGTTCCTGGTTCTCCAGTTCATTTCTCCCAATTGCATAATTGTTATTACTCGCATTATTACCTTCGTTATGCTGCATTGTGGTCGACCGCGATTCGTAGCAGTTTGCTTACTAAATCGGACGAAATATGCACTTATCGAACACGATCTAACAAATGCCGCAATCCAACGACACAAAGGCGGACGAACTACAACGATAACACGTCGACTGACGAGACTGCGACGAACGACAAATCGGACAAATACTCGTCACTCGAACAGGAGTGTAATAGCGATTAGCGGATAATAATATCATAGTTATAGATGTAAGGATTAACTAGTATCTGCAGGAAAAAAACCCGACGACCGTACTGATAACGACATAATAATATTGTCAAGGTTTGTCGTGGTGTCATAGACCTAATACTATATTATAAGGTCTATGCGTGGTGTACAATATTATTACCAAATAATAATCACTGTTCATTATCATATTGTCTCTTAGTTCAAATTTTCGGCGCCAATAATAAATGGGTTGACGGAATTACGGAAACGTGATAACGACCATATCGTGGACCACGGGGGGTCAAAACGTAACATTTCTACTTGAATGGTGATTTACGGACATTGTTTTTTTTGTTGTGGTACATACCACGAGTTACGATAAACATCTTAATTCGTAGTACATACTAATAGAAAATATAAAAATAAATACCATAATATTATATGATATTGTGGTGTAGTTTTGCCATAGAGCTGTAGAGGGTATTCGAGATACATAGGTAGGTCTACGGACTACAGCGTTACCTAAAACTCTAAATTTCTTATTTATTTAGATTTTTGGAACCTCTAGTTCAAGGAATGAAACATTTTATTTATACAAACACAATAAATGAAAAAGTACAAGAATTAAAATATATTCTTATCATGTGTCAAAACATTGCCTGTTTCTACAGTAAAATGTGAACGCGGATTTAGTTTAATGAACATAAATCATAATGTGTTGAGATCCAAACGATCAATAAAATATTAATTGAACCTCATGTTCATCAATTTAAATGGGGTAGCTTTTAATATATGGAATCCAACCGAATATTTTAGAAGCTAGCTAGATAATCGTCCGAGAAAAGTAGACATTGGAATTTGGAAGTGTTAACAGAAAAAAAAAATCATGGAATATTTTGTAAATTGTCACATTATATTTGCTATATGGATTATAAATAAACAGAAACTTATAATATGATTATTAATTATTTTTCGAATATAACACATTTAAAATTTTAAATATTTATATAATATAATATATATGTTACGGGCAAAGTGGAAAATTCGGGCAATGTATACAATGCCCGGGCATTGTACACAGTGACCGGGCATTGTATACAATGTCCGAGGTATATTGGGCAATGTAAATTGTGAAGTATTTATACAAATAATCTGCATAATATATTTTGTTAGATGATAATGATAAACTAATATGAATTTATAATCGACATCTGATTGTGCTTGCATGTCGATCAAGTCAATTTGACAGCGAGAATTCATTTCAGAAGATATGATTGGTTTTACAACCAACCCTTTTTTAGCTGTACTTCCCTTCTTTTTACACGATTTGCAATTATTTAAGTATAACATTATTACATCTCTAGTTATATTTTTGTACTTTTTATTAATCTCGTGTTCCATTCTATTTCTACCTCCATGTCCAATTGACAAATGAACTTCATGTATAATATCATATAACTGAACATTATGCACATAATATTTTATTGCATTACCTTTAAATACATTTAAAATTTAATTGATTAAAAAAAAATTATAATACTCTTATATAAATAATCATATAAACGAGTATAATAATTATTAGTATATAATATCATTGATTAGGTAAAATAATATTATGCAGATTATTTGTATAAGTACTTCACAATTTACATTGCCCAATATACCTCGGACATTGTATACAATGCCCGGTCACTGTGTATAATTTCCGGTCATTGTATACATTGCCCGAATTTTCCACTTTGCCCGTAACATATATATCTAATCAGTTAATTGATTTTATTATTTTTTAATTATTTTAATTTTTAATTTTTAATTTAACAACTAGGCTAATTGATATAAGGGGTGTCATGTAGCATATATTTCCCAAAACAATATTTGCGACCATTGGCGTAGCCAGGGAAAGGGGTATAAAGGGGGTATTTTAAACAAACATAAAAAAAATATATATATTTTTAAAATATCACTCAATCATTCATGTATTTAAAAAGGAAAAAATAAGTTTAGGCATAAGAGCTTACAATAATTTATTTTAAGTTTTATTTATTCGAACCATTTTGAGCAGGACAATATGGTTATGAGCAGGGTTGGGATTTTATAGCAGTTAAAATTGCATAAATATGCGCTATAATATGACCTCAACTATCGCTAAATATGCGTTAAAAATATGCAACAAAAACAACAAAATATGAAAAAAAGTAAATTTATTAATTAATCACTTACAAATTTATATAAACGGCGAAAATACAACGTAACACACGAGTACAGGCACACGAGACAACTATATAAAATAAATTGACACCTATCATTCAACGTTGATAATCGGCGATTAATAATCGCAGTAGAAATCGACAAAAAAAAACCCCAACAAAATTAGCAGATAACAAAAATTAAACGTTTAACTTTATAATATTATGTATATTTACCATCAATTTATTGTACACCATGTTAAAATAAAAATAAAATGCTTAAATTAGAAAATCATTATCACATAGTTACTATGTCATACCTTTTCATCGGTAAATTATTTAAATTTAGCCACACTTATATCAATCAAACAAATAAAAAAATTTCAATTCAATTACAAACAAATTATAGAACTATTATTCTATTATTTTTCATTTTTAAATTAAAAACATTTTTTTTTTCATATGACAACTGACAAGATATTTTAACTAGAGAAATGAACAAATAATACAATTTATTCTTAAATTTGAAATATAGTCTGAATATTCTTTATTCATTAAAATGTACAATTATATACAAAATAAATTTATTATAACCATTACTACAAATTATTATTCATTACTTATTTGTTATTATATTTATAATTAATATTTGATACTTCCAATTATTATTATTTTTGTTTTTACATAATGGAATATATTTTAAATCTGTAACGTAAGTAAAAAAATAACTGAATGTGAAAATAAAATTAATTGACTTATAAGTTACTTCATGACATGGTAAAAAATTTAACTCATTATGTAAATTTGTAAAAAACTTAACTTTTTAACTTGTTAATGCCCAACCTGAATTAAGCACTGAACAATTGAGACGTTGGCACGGAAAAGATATAAATTCATAAAAACCAAATTTTACAGGAGAAAAAAAAAATTTAACATACATTGAGACTAAAGACTAGTGCCATCTTATGTTCAACGTAATTCCTAATATTTAAGGGAATTAGAACTATTAGAATACAATTTATTTTCATGTAAAATTGTTTCAATAAATACCGGCTTATACAATATTGAATTGTAAATCCAATGAAAATTTCATTTTACCATAAGATAAACCACTTATTATCCTATCTATGTTCCTAGTTTCAAAAAAATTGACACAACCAATTATTTTTATTACATGTTCAAAGTTGGAATGGAATTTGTTGTAAAAAACAACAGATTCCATAATAATTTATTCTCTATAACTCTATAACTTAAACCCTATATACCTACCTACTACTACCTGTCCACCTAGTATCTCTAATTATTAATGTTAGGTCTTAGGTAGGTACTTAATAACTAAAGTCTACAGCCAAAAGGTAGCGAACAGTAGGAAAGTAGTGAATATTTTAATTGAATCACTTAACACTTTAATGATTATTATTAATAACCTATACCTACATTTTTTTTGTGTATTTCTATAATTCTTAGATATTATGTAAAACCACACCATGATTATTAGGTTTTATAACTTTGTTTATTTTATGATGATTTGTGACTCAGAGGTGGACTTTCAACATTTTTCTCGGAAAAATAATATGTACCTACCTATTTCAAAGGTATATTTTTTATTTTTATAAAAAAATGTTTTGTGCTTGGGTGTAGCTTAGTCCATGCAAAAGTATGACAACTTCAAAAGTCAAAGGGTAATAGATTCTATCAATGTACAATATCTCAGACGTAACTTTAATATAATTACATAATAAAAATTACATTTATATGAATCAGATGTTTTATAATAAAAACAATTACAATGTGACATATTATATAGGTATTAGGTACTTAAATTTAATAATTTAAATATAAATTGTAATAAATATTTTACACCAATTTATTAGTAAATGATCAATAACTCCGTAGACCTGGTTTTACGGTATTGCATAATAATAAAATGAATAAATGAATTATTAGATTAATAATATGGCAGTGAAAATTGTATTCAAGTTTTGTATGATACAATATTGGTACAAGTCACATATTTAAGAAATACATTGTAGATTAATTCAGTAATATACTAATACGTAGACCAGCGTTTCTTAAACTTTTTTATCCGTGGAACTCTTTTTTATGTGCACTTTCAACGTGGACCCCCAACTTTTTTTAGCTTTTTTTTATTGAGCTCTTAACAATAAATTATTACAGCTCGACAATTAGAACCACTGCATTGTTTCAATACTTTCAATGCGTCATTTTATGTAAGGAATATTTGCAATAAAAGTTATAATTATGTGTCAAAATTTAAAATTTTGAATAAAAAACCACAAGTTTCGGGGAACCCTGAAGTGACCTCCGCGGAACCCTGGGGTTCCACGGAACACAGTTTAAGAAACGCTGACGTAGACAATAGACATGTAGTGATCACAGTGATGTAGAACGCTCAAAAACTAAAAATGCGTACAAATTTAAACATTCAGGTTGAAGTCGAGGTACATAATATGCCATAATAGCAAAAAAGCAAAATCTGCCTTTTCAGCGCTCTTGGTGGACAATTCTTTAATTAAATGCACTAAATTAAATACTTACTCAAAAAGATAGGAAGTGTCCACTGTAATACACTGTATTGTCTACATCGTGATACCTACTTACCCAAGACGTTACAATTTCTTTAGTTGGATTATACAATATTACGCGTTATTAAGTAAGATGGAGACAACATGGTCGTAGCATTATGAATTTACATAGGGGGAGGAGGGGGGGGCTATAGACCTTTTTTTCATTGAGGTATCGACGACGCTGCCGGAACTTTTTTCGAATTACTTCGGCAAAGGGGCTGAGCCTTTAACAATTTAAAACGTATTCGTAAATATTGGTGAAGTCTGAAATAATGAATTTCGTATAAAAATAAAATAATCGTTAGTGATGAACTGTTAACGCCGCGGTCGATCAGCATAAAAGTATAGACAATA